AACCAAAAACCAAAACACCCAGAGTACAACTGACCAATTCCCCCAGCAGATCTGCCCACAGACCTGTTACACCGTATACTCGCTCAGATTGAGGTGCAAGTGGTCTCTGGCAATGCCTGGAGACATTTCTTGCTGTCACAATGGGGTACGAGGGGTGCCCTTAGCAACATGGATTGATGCTAACCTTCCAAGGAGCTCCCCGGCCCCCAGGTCAATAGAGCGGTGAGGTAAGCAGTCACGTAGAGAGAGTTAACGCTCTCTCAAGCATGAGCTGAGTAACGCCGTGTTCCTAGGGTCTAGGGTGCAGCTGAGTGGTAAAGTACAGGCCTGACATGGGCATGTCCCAGGGCTTGAGTCCCCAATGTTCTAAAACGTTTCCCGGGGCAGATGGTAAAGTAGAGAGGACGCTTGCCCTGCATGCAATCGACCCGGGTTCAATCCCTGGCACCCCATAGGGTCCCCTGAGCACTGCCAGGAGTGATTCCTGACGAGTGCGGAGCCAGGAGTAACTCCTGAGCATCGCTGGGTGTGGCCCAAAACAAAAAAAAGAAAGAAAAGAAAAAAATGGGCAGACAAACAACCTGGGCTGGACAGTCTGCTTTGTTTTCATTGGGGGGGGTGGGGGGACACCTGCAGGTGCAGGTGGTGTCTAAGAGGCTTCTCCTGACTCAATGTGGGAGGGTCAAATCTCGTGGTGCTCAGGGGACCGTGCAGGGCAGGGGGTCAAACCAGCACCTCCTGCACACAAAGCTCTCTCCTTTCTCTGGAAAAAGTGATTTTTCTTTTTTTCTTTTTTTTTTTTTTTTGTTTTGTTTTTGAGACCTCATCCGGAGGTGCTCATGACTTACTCCTGACTCTGTGCTCAGGATCACACTTGCCGGGGCTCCAGGGCCTTTATGTGATGCCAGAGATTGAGCCAGGGTCAGCTGCGTGCAGGGCAAGCACCCTGTCCATTGTCCTAGCCCTCGGCCCAGTGCGTGTGACTGAGTGTGATCCCAGGTCCAGTTCAGCATCACTAAGCTGTAGAAAGGCATGCTAGGATGGCGGAGGCAGGCAGGGGACAACAGGACACTGCTGTCCCCTGTGGGTGTCCAGTGACCTCAGCTCCTGTGGCTAGCCTCATTGGTACCCCCAGTACAGGCCAGACCTGGTCCTGGGGAACCTGTCCCTCTGGATGCCACCAGCCCCCCAGCTGACATCTGTCCTATTTATACAACTCAGCACACACCCCTCCAGCTGCCAGTCTTTGTTGGTTTGGTTTGGGGCCACACCCAGTGTTGTTCAGGCCTTACCCTTGGCTCTGTGCTCAGATACGCTCCTGACATGCTCAAGGGACCATCTGGGGTGCTGGGGATCAACCCCTGGTGGGCTGTGTGCAATTCAAGCACCCTACCTGCTGTACTATCACTCCGCGCGCACCCCCCCACCCTGTCCCTCAATTGCAAAGCTCCCGAAATGCTTATATATTTTTAATTATTACTATGATTAGTTTTTGGTGCTGGGGATGAACTGCAGGGTTTTGCCCACACAAAGCAAGTGTTCTGCCATAAGCTACGCCCCAGCCTGTCCCTGAAACATCTGTCTTATCATTATCATTTTCTTTCCTTGGGAGGAGGGGAGTCCTGTGTGCAGAACATATGCTCCAGCCCTTTAAGTCATCTTTTTTGGTGGGATGGGGTGTGGGGGCATACCAGCTGTGCTCAGGGCTTACTCCAGGGGTGACTCCTGGCAGTTCTCAGGGGACCGTATGCGGCACCAGGGATGATCAAACTGGTGTCAGCTGTATGCAAGGTGAATGCCTGGCCCTCTGTACCATCCTTCCAGCCCCTTCGAGATCTCTCTGTCTCTCTCTCTCTTTTTTTTTTTTTTTTTTTTTTTTTTTTGCTTTTTGGGTCACACCTGGCAATGCTCAGGGGTTACTCCTGGCTCATGTACTCAGGAATTACTCCTAGCGGTGCTCGGGGGGACCATATGGGATGCTGGGAATCGAACTCAGGTTGGTAGCATGCAAGGCAAACGCCTTATCTGCTGTCCTATCACTCTAGTCCCCGAAGGTCTCTTTCTTATCAGCCCTGGGTTTCCATGCAGTGTCAGGGCTCAAACCTGGGCCTCCAGCATGCAAAGAATGTACGCCAGCTCTTTGAACCATCTCCCAGGATCCCAAACTTCCCCTAAAATGATCACCCAGGGGTGGAGTGATATCACAGCGGGTAGGGCATTTGCCTTGCACGCAGCCGACCTGGGTTCGATTCCCAGCATCCCATATGGTCCCCCGACCACTGCCAGGAGTAATTCCTGATTGCATGAGCCAGAAGTAACCCCTCAGCATTGCCAGGTGTGGCCCAAACAACCGAAAAAAAAAAAACTAATCACCAGTTGGGAGATAGCTTTAAGGACCAAGGATGTGTTTTGAATGTGGAAGCCCCCTAGTTCTATCCCCAGCATTGCACATGGTCCCCTAAATTTCGCTGGTGCACCTCCTGAACACAACCCCTGTGCACTAACCCAGGAGTGGTTCCCAAGCATGGCCAAATATGGTCCCCAAACAAAACGAAAAACTAAACAGACCACTCTGCTACTTCACTGGCCTCTGTAAATAAAAAAAAAAAAATTACTTTGCTTTTTTGGCCAGACTCAGCAGTGCTCAGGGGATGCACTCAGGAATTACTCCTGGTGGTGCTCAAGGGACCATATGGATATGGGGACTGAACCCAGGTTGGCTGCGTGCAAGGCAAGTGCCCCACCCACGGTACTATCCTCCCAGGCCGTGGCCCCCGTGTTTTGTTTTGTTTTGTTTGGGGGCTGTATGCGAGGACACTCAGTAGCTACTGTCGCACCCCATACTTGGTGTTTGGCGTTACTCTGGGCAGTACCCAGGGGAATGTATGTTGTGGGCATTGAACTGGGGTCTCCTGGATGCTGGATACTCCAACCGCCCCCACCCCAGTTCGCTCTAACTCCAAAAACCCAAACTAATGCTGGGGCCAGGCATATAGCACAGCTGTGGGGCACAGAACACTTAGCATGTATGAGGCCTTGAGTTTGTCATCTGACTGGTTAAATAAATAAAATCAAATATGATGTAATCATATATTCTTGCATCACACCTAGAGTTCAGCATCTTTTGTTTATGCAATGATACACCCTATGTCTTCCCAGGTCCTGTACTATATGGTTCAACCTCCTGGTTTTGTTTGTTGGTTTGGTTTCTTTTGGGGACACCCAGTGAGGTTCAGTTTTCACTCCTGGCTGGGCACTCAGGAACTACTCCTGAAGTGCTTGAGGGAACATATGGGATCCTGATTGATCTCAGGTCAGTCGTTATTCATCGATTGCTTCGAGCAGGCCCCAGTAACGTCTTCTTCATCCTAGCCCTGAGATTTTTAAGAAAGTGCCATATTCAAGGCTCTTTAGGAGAATGAGACCCATCATTGTTACTGGTATTTGGCATGTTGGGTACGCCATGGGGAGTTTGCCAGACTCTGCCGTGTGGGCAGGTTACATTTGGCTGCCTGCCAGTTTGGCCAAAGTAGGAATGAGATAATAAGATGTCGCGCAGCCGCAAATGTGGCCGCGCACTTCCCAGAGCTGGGTTTTATAGTCTCTGAGTCTTGGCCATTGATGGGATTACACAGCGCCAGGGAGCCAGTTGGTGGGTGTGACCCCTGCCTACTGGAATTTGGAGGATCTGGGTGGAGGATGCTCAGCCCCGATCCAAGTAGGCTAGGTCAGTCATGTGCAAGGCAAATGCCTTACCCATGTACTATTGCTCCGGCCCCCTCTTCAAGCTTTTACCCTGTTACTGAGAATGGTCCTTTATCTGATCTGTTTATTTGTTCTTTTGAAGTTAAACAGCACTGCACTGTAGCACTGTCCTCCCTGTTGTTCATGGATTTGCTGGAGCAAGCACTAGTAACGTCTCACAACAAATTGTGAGACTCGTTACTGTTTTTGGCATATCGATATGTCACAGGTAGCTTGCCAGGCTTTGCTGTGTGGGCGAGATACCTGGGTGGGTCGCGTGCAAGGCAAACGCCTTATTTGCTGTGCTATCGCTCCAGCCCCTTGAAGTTAAATAGTCATATTAATTCTATGGAGAATGTGGGATGAGAGAGAAGAGGAGAGGAGGGGTGGAGAGAGAGAGAGAGAGAGAGAGAGAAACATCAAAAGAAGAAATGACTCACCCCAAAGTTGTGGATGGGGGCCACTCTAGAAGAGCGCCAAAAATGGTGTTATTTTGTTTGTTTTCTGGGTCAAACCCTAACATGCTTGAGGGTTATTCCCGCTCTATCCTGGCAGAAGGGAACCAGGGGAGCAGAGGATTAACCAAGGTCCTTCCGTGTGCAAAGCATGCTCTCAGCAGGCTGAGCTCTCTGGCGCCCCAACAATGGTCTTGCCACGCCCGACTCTGCTCAGGACTTACTCCAGATTCTGCAATCAGGATCACTCCTGGTGGGACTCAGGGGATCAAACCAGGCATCAAGCCGGGGCGGCTGGTGGCATGCAAAGCGCCCTAGCCGCTCTCTCTCCGGCCTCGCATGGTCTTTTAGATGCTTCTCTGCACGTGTTAAGTTTTCTCGTGAACAAAATTAAAGAAGAGGCCAGAGAGAACAGCTCCGCGTTGAAGTCTGACGCCTGAGCACTGTACCAAGCCCCTCTGTAACTCTGGGCGTGGCCCAATAGCCGGTCTCCCTCATTCCCCCCCAAACTGTTGGACCTAGAGTAGGGTTTGTTTTTGCATCTCTCCGACTCAAGAGGCTGCACACGGCAACCCCAGCGGGTGTGGAAGGCAGCCTTCAGCCCCGCGCGCACAATAACCTACGGCAGGGAGCGGGCCCGGGCGCGGACTACATCTCCCAGGATGCACCGGGGCCTCGGCCCACCTCGTCCGCGTGACTCTCCGGAGCCAATCACCGAGGCGCCGGGGAGGCGGCGCCGCCTCCCGTCCTCCCGCCGCGGCGCCCGGCACGCGGGACCGTCTCTCCCGTCAGCCTCCGCGCACGGGCCGGGCCGCCGCCGAGTGTGGCCGCGGCAGGCGCCGGGGGGAGGCCCCGAGACTCCACTTCCCGGGAGGCAGCGCGGCCCGCGGGGCGGAACTCCATTTCCCAGCAGGCCACGGGCGGCGGGCGCCGCGGTGCCTTGTGTGGGATGTAAGCGCGGAGGTGGGCGCGGGGGCCTCGGGCCAGGACGCGCCCTGGGCTTTCGGGGGCTCGGCCTGGGGGCGCCTTCGGGGCGGCCTGTCGGGGTGCGGGGCCCCGGGGGGGTGCAGATGGGCCGGGGCGGCCGTCGAGGGTGCTCGCGGGCGTGCTAGGGGCGCACCCCCTTTGCAGCCGGGGCTGGTGGCGCCGGGTGGGGGGGAGGAGGAGGCCGTGCAGCGGCGGGCGCAGGGGCGCGGCGGGGCGAGTGCGGGAGCAGATGGGAGGCGGGTGAGCGCGGCTGGGACGCCGACCCTCCCTGCCCGGCCCTCCCGCAGGCCCAGGCCCGCCGCCATGGGGCTGAAGGCCGCCCAGAAGACGCTCTTCCCGCTGCGCTCCATCGACGACGTGGTGCGCCTGTTCGCCGCCGAGCTGGGCCGGGAGGAGCCCGACCTGGTGCTCCTGTCCCTGGTGCTGGGCTTCGTGGAGCACTTCCTGGCTGTCAACCGCGTCATCCCCACCAACGTGCCCGAGCTCACCTTCCAGCCCAGCCCCGCGCCCGACCCCCCCGGCGGCCTCACCTACTTCCCCGTGGCCGACCTGTCCATCATCGCCGCCCTCTACGCCCGCTTCACCGCGCAGATCCGCGGCGCCGTGGACCTGTCGCTGTACCCGCGCGAGGGGGGCGTCTCCAGCCGCGAGCTCGTCAAGAAGGTCTCCGATGTCATCTGGAACAGCCTCAGCCGCTCCTACTTCAAGGACCGGGCGCACATCCAGTCCCTCTTCAGCTTCATCACAGGTGGGGGGCGGGGTCCCTCGGGAAGGGCTGGCTCTGGCCACCCCGCCTGTGCATTGCAGTAGCGCCCTCGCGGACCCCAGATGGGAAGCCGGGTGCCCAAGGCAGGTCCTCGGGACTGCCCCCCCCACCCCCCATCATTTGCTGCGGGTTCTCCCAGCCAGAGGGACAGGGTTGAAGCAGATTTGGGGCCTTAAGGGACCCAGACCTGGCCACATTTTCGGAGATGAAACAATAGCTCTGAAAAGACGCAGGTCGAGGTTCGACCTCCAGCAGCTACAGGATCAGGGCGGGTCCCAGAGCTCTGGGCAGGCTGGGGGCTGGATCTGCGAATTGGGAGGGAATCTCAGGTGCTTTCCAGCCCAGACGGGCCTGCGGAGAAGTTCCAGTCCCCACCAGGGGGTGTGGCAGTGCCACAGAGTGCCTTGTTTTTCCTGGCCCTGTTGTACCCTACTTAGGACCTAGTGAGAAAACCCATAAAGTAAGAGCCATACCGCTCTGGTCTTGTGAAGCGTCAAAGGCCTGATGGACTCTCAGCTGGGGGGAGGGTCCTGGGGGCCAGGAGCGACGGTGGACAGGGCTAGCTGAGGTTTTGGGGTGCAGGGGGGCATCCCCAGAGACCCCCACTCATTCCCTCTCCCTTCTGCAGGCACCAAGTTGGACAGCTCCGGCGTGGCCTTCGCAGTGGTGGGCGCCTGCCAGGCTCTGGGGCTCCGTGATGTCCACCTGGCCCTGTCCGAGGACCACGCCTGGGTGGTGTTCGGGCCCAACGGCGAGCAGACGGCAGAGGTCACCTGGCACGGCAAGGGCAACGAGGACCGCAGGGGCCAGACGGTCAACGCGGGCGTGGCTGAGCGGGTGAGGGGCGCCCCATTCTGTGCTCTCCTGGCCACACATGCCGCCGCCGGCCCCCACCTTCGCCTGGGAGGGAGTCGGGGGGCCCCTGTGGGCTGGGGCTCCCGGCGCGGCACCCAGCCCGGCTTCCGTCTCCCCAGAGCTGGCTGTACCTGAAAGGCTCCTACATGCGCTGTGACCGCAAGATGGAGGTGGCCTTCATGGTGTGCGCCATCAACCCGTCCATTGACCTGCACACCGACTCCCTGGAGCTGCTGCAGCTGCAGCAGGTGAGGGGGGGTCCCCCATGCCTGGAGTTCATGGCGCCCTCCCCTCTGCCTTTGCCGGGCTCTTGAGAAAGCCGCTGGGGACCAGAAAGGCTTCCGGGGGGTCGGGCCCTGCTGGTGTCACACCCCCACTCGGGCGCCCCTGATCCAGCCCTTCTTCCCGGCCCCTAGAAGCTGCTGTGGCTGCTCCACGACCTGGGACATCTGGAAAGGTCAGTCGGGACCGTGGCCAGGCTGCTCGGGGGGAGTCGTGTCCAGCCTGGGGGTCTGTCAGGAGCCGTGACCAGGCTGGGCTCGGCGGGTTGGTGTTGGGGGGGGGCGTGCAGCTTCACTCGCGGCTCTTTTCCAGGTACCCCATGGCGCTGGGGAACCTGGCGGACCTGGAGGAGCTGGAACCCACCCCCGGCCGGCCGGACCCCCTCACCCTCTACCACAAGGTGGGCACAGCTGCACTGTGGTGGGGGGGTACAGGGGAGTCTTCAACTTAGGGTGGGGGCGCAGGTGAAGAGAATAGCAGTGTGGTGATTTGGGGCGGAGGGTAAGTGGATGGTGATCGTAGCCCCAGTTCCCCAAAACCTACCATATGGTTCCCAATGGGAATGTCTGCTGGGGAGCAGGGGGCTTTTCTGGGCTCCCCACCCCGGAGGGGTCATAGCCTGGGTTTGTGCCCTGCTCCCTCTGCTGCCTGTCAGCGTCCTTGCTGGGGAGGATCAGGTCAATTGTGGGCATCCTGTGCGGGGGATGGGAGAGGGACATGGGGTGGGACTGGGGTTTTGGCGTTGGTATAGGAGTGCGCCCTGCCGCACCCCCCCCCCCCAGTCCCCTAGGTTTACTTCAGAGGGTCCCCAGTCCCTCGGCCTGGCACCAGCCTCAGTCTGAGAGCCAGGCAGGAGTGCCTGGTGGTGAAGCTGACCCGAAGGGACTGGGGGCGGGGGGGGGGGAGGGAGTTGGAGGGGGGGAGCTGGAGGCTTGGTGGAGGGGGGGCTTGGGGGGTCTTTCTGTGTGGGCAGCAGGACGTGTGTGCCTGAGACCCCTGCTCCATCCATCCCCTGCAGGGCATCGCCTCGGCCAAGACATACTACCGGGACGAGCACATCTACCCCTACATGTACCTGGCCGGCTTCCACTGCCGCAACCGCAACGTGCGCGAGGCCCTGCAGGCCTGGGCGGACACGGCCACGGTCATCCAGGAGTGAGGCTCTGGGCCCCGCCTCCCTGTCCCCGCTCTCCTGCCGCTGCTGTGCCGCCCCACCCCCACCCCCGGCTGACACAGCATCCTCTGGGGAGCTCCTAGGGACAGTCCCCACAAGGGGCGGGGTGTCCCCTGGGAAGCCCCTCATGCCCCCCCCCACCCTCACAGCTACAACTACTGCCGAGAGGACGAGGAGATCTACAAGGAGTTCTTCGAAGTGGCCAACGACGTCATCCCCAACCTGCTGAAGGAGGCAGCCAGCCTGCTGGAGGCGGGCGAGGAGCGAGCGGAGCAGAGCCAGGTGACGGAGCGGGGAGGGGGTCTCCCGGAGAGGGCCACCCTCTCGCTCCCGACTGCGCCCTGAGTCAGTGAGCGGCTGGGGTGAAGGGAAGGAGGGTCCCCTGGCCCCCGGCGTACACGGGCACAGCCGTACACGGGCACAGCCGAGCCCAAGGCCGCTGTGTCGTGGTTCGGGCTCAGGGTCACGCCTGTCAGAGCTGGCTTGGGGGGTCAGACCTGGGGCTTGTGCCATCTGGCCCGAGGGGTCCAACGTGGGTGCCCCTCTCGCAGGGCTCCCCGGGCCAGGGCTCTGCCCTGCAGGACCCCGAGTGCTTTGCCCACCTGCTGCGCTTCTACGACGGCATCTGCAAGTGGGAGGAGGGGAGCCCCACGCCCGTGCTGCATGTGGGCTGGGCCACCTTCCTGGTCCAGTCCCTGGGCCGCTTCGAAGGCCAGGTGAGCGCCCGCCTCCCCTTGGGTAGGATCTGGGGACGGGGTCGGCGGGGGTGGCGCTGTGACCCCAAGCCCTCTCCCCACCAGGTGAGGCAGAAGGTCCGCATTGTGAGCCGGGAGGCCGATACGGCCGAGGCCGAGGAGCCGTGGGGTGAGGAGGCCCGGGAAGGCCGGCGGCGGGGCCCGCGCCGCGAGTCCAAACCAGAGGAGCCTCCGCCACCCAAGAAGCCGGCGCTGGACAAGGGCCCGGGGCCGGGGGCCGCGCAGGCACCCCCTCGGAAGCCCCCCGGAACAGTGCCCGGCCCAGCCCGGGCCCCAGAAGGCAGTGGCGCGGCGCCCGTGCCGGCGCCCGCGGCCTCCCCGCCGCCCGAAGGGCCCGTGCTCACCTTCCAGAGTGAGAAGATGAAGGGCATGAAGGAGCTGCTGGTCGCCACCAAGATCAACTCAAGCGCCATCAAGCTGCAGCTCACGGCGCAGTCACAGGTGCAGATGAAGAAGCAGAAGGTGTCCACGCCCAGCGACTACACGCTGTCCTTCCTCAAGCGGCAGCGCAAGGGGCTCTGAAGGGCCCTCTCTGACGCCCCCTCCCCCCGCCCTGACTGGATCCGAGTCGAGGGAGGGGACCCCCCCAGTCCCGAGCTAGGGCCCTGCCCATCACCCAGCCCCAGAACCCCAGCAGGCCCCAAACTGCCTACCCGGCCTGGCCTCGGTCTCGCGGGCGCCACTGGAACGTCGGGCCCTGGGCAGCTGCTGCTATTCCCAGCCCTGACCGGTGTTGCTCAGGGGTGCACCCAGCCTGCGTGGCTGGGCGTCATCCTTCACCCTAGAAGCACAGGTCCGGCCGGACCCCAGAACCTCACCCTGCCCTGCCCCTACAAGTACGTTTCTGCACCCCAGAATTCCATCGCTTGGCTGTGGAGCCCCTCACTCCCCGAGGAACTTGGGGAGCGCTTCCAGACTTTGGAGAGCCACCTCCCCGCCCCCCCACACACCCTGTGCCAGGATCCCGGGCCGAGAAGCCCCCCACCCCCCTCCTCCGTGTGACAGAAGCCCCTTGCCCGAACCCTAGTGGCCCCCCAATCAGCACGGACCTCACTCCCCCTGGGAACCGCCCCGGCCCAGACCCTCTCCGAGGACCCCCCGAAGAAACCTGCAGGGGTGGGGTGTGACTGGGTGCAAGGAGCCGGATCGTTCCTGTTTTGTACATAGATTTATTTTTCAGTTCTAAGGAAGATAAATACATTTTGTAAAAAAAAGAAAAAGTTTTGCGTTCCTTGTGGGAAGTGGCCGGTGGGGCGGGCACGAGGCGCCCCCTTTCCCCCGGGCTCTGGGACCTGGGGCCCCGCGCAGGGCCGGTCCCGCGGGCGCCCCCTCGCGGCCGGGCGGCGGCTCCGCCCCGGGCCCCGGCCCCGCCCCCGCGGCCCCGGAGCCGCCGTCCCGCCCCGCCCCGCCCCGCGCCGCGCCGCCCGCGCCGGCTTCGCCGCTCGCGCCCGCCGGCCGCCCGGCGCCGGGCCATGGCGCTGCTGCGGGATGTGTCGCTGCAGGACCCGCGGGACCGCTTCGAGCTGCTGCAGCGCGTGGGGGCCGGCACCTACGGCGACGTGTACAAGGTGCGCGCGGCGGGGAGGGCGCGCGCTCCGGGGGGTGGGGGGGCCGGCGCGGGCCCCAGGGGGTCCCCGGCCCCGCCCTCGCCTCACCCCGCCTCACCCGGCCCGCACCTGCAGGCCCGCGACACCGTCACGTCCGAGCTGGCCGCCGTCAAGATAGTGAAGCTGGACCCAGGTGAGGGCCCCGCGCCGGGGCCTGCGCTGCGGGGCGGGCAGCGGCGCGCGGGGCCGCGGCTGCGGGGCGCCCGGGGGAGACGGGCGGGGGGGGGACGTGGGCGAGGGCCCCCGCCCCGGGCCGGCCAAGAAGGGTGCCCGCCCGGACCCCGCCGCGCGGGCCGCGAGCCCCTCCGTGCCCACTTTGCAGATGGGGGCACTGAGTTCGGGCGCCGAGCCCGGGCGGCCGGCCCACGGTGCCCTCCCTGTGCCCCCTCCCCCAGGGGACGACATCAGCTCCCTCCAGCAGGAAATCACCATCCTGCGGGAATGCCGGCACCCCAACGTGGTGGCCTACATCGGCAGCTACCTCAGGTGAGGCTGCTGCACCCCGCGCCCCCCAGCGCCCCGCCGCCTCTGCCCTGCGTCCTGACACCCCAGCTCTGTGTGTGTGTCCCCCCCAGGAATGATCGTTTGTGGATCTGCATGGAGTTCTGTGGAGGGGGGTCTCTGCAGGAGATTTACCACGGTGAGGGGCAGGACTCCAGGCCCCCCACCCACCTCAGCCGGGAGCTCCAGACTTGGGGGGCCCCCCGCGCTCCTAAGTGCCTGTGTGACCTTGAGAGAAGCGCTGGCCTTCTCTGGTCTCGGTCACCGCCGGTGCAGGGAGGGCATGTGGCCGGCACCCCTTCACCTAGCAGTGCCCAGGCTGGCCCGACACAGGGGGGCCCGGGAGGGGGGCCCGCACACCCCAGACCCTCACGCCCCTCGGCCCCTTCCCTTGCAGCCACGGGGCCGCTGGAGGAGCGGCAGATCGCTTACGTTTGCCGGGAAGCACTGAAGGTAGCGGGGGGGCACCCCCGCACCCTCACACCCCCAGTCCTCGGGAGCTGTGGGCAGGGCGCCCGGCTGGCTGGGGGGGCTGGGGGAGCCGATCTGGGGGGCTGTGGGCCGGAGGGAAGGGCCCCCAGCCCGGTTGCCGGAAGCAGCCCATTTCCCTCTTGGCTCAGTCACTTCCTGTTTGGGGAGAGGGGGAGGAAGCAGCCTGGGTGGGGGGCCCCAGCCCTGAGAGGGGGCTCCTGGGAGGTGGGCTGGCGCCAGGGGGGCCTGCCCTCAGGAGCCCCCGCTCTCCCACACCTGCAGGGCCTGCATCACTTACACTGTCAGGGGAAGATTCACCGGGACATCAAGGTAAGGGGGGCGGCCGGGGGGAGGAGGGGGCACGAGGGGGCCTGTCGGGGCTCCCCATGCGATGCTTGTCCCCCCCCACGCCCACAGGGAGCCAACCTCCTCCTCACCCTCCAGGGAGACGTCAAGCTTGGTCAGTATTGGGGGTCACGCTCGGGGTGAGGCTCAGGGGGCTGGCCGGGGGGTTGGGGTCATTCCTGTCGCAGCTGGCTTTCCCCGTCTAAGCTTGGGGTTCGTGAGTCCCTATGGAATCTAGGGGGGCTGGGCCCTGCCACAAGGACCGGCCACTTGCCTCACCTGGGCCTGAGCCCCGCAAGTTCCACCCACGCCCTGGCCGGGCCAGGGTTGCGGGGAGCAGGGGCCGAGCGTGGAGCTCTTCCTCCCTGCAGCCGACTTCGGGGTGTCGGGCGAGCTGACGGCGTCGGTGGCCAAGCGGAGATCCTTCATCGGGACCCCCTACTGGTGAGGCTGCGCCTGGGACTGGAGGGGGGTGCCCGGTGCCCAGGGTCTCACTTCCTGTGTCCCCCAGGATGGCCCCGGAGGTGGCGGCCGTGGAACGCAAAGGTGGCTACAACGAGCTGTGTGACGTGTGGGCCCTGGGCATCACTGCCATCGAGCTGGGCGAGTTGCAGCCCCCCCTCTTCCACCTGCACCCCATGAGGTCAGCTGAGTGCCCGCCCCCCTCCTGACCCCGGGGGTCCTGCTGACCTTCGACCCCTGACCCAGTGCTCTCCCCAGGGCCCTGATGCTCATGTCCAAGAGCAGCTTCCAGCCTCCCAAGCTGAGAGACAAGATGCGCTGGTGAGGCCCGCAGCCCCCTGCTGGGACCCCCTTTCCAGCCAGGCCTCACCCCCTGGGGTGCCCCGAACTCCCCACTCTGGCCCTTAGCTGAGGCTGCTTGGCCAGGCAGGAGCACAGGTGGCCGAGTTGGGGGGCACTATGGGGGGGCAGCCTGGCCGCCTCGGGTTGAGCTGGACTTCCAGGTCCACTGACGCCGGGGCTGGCGTCCACTAGGACCCAGAATTTCCACCACTTCCTCAAGCTGGCCTTGACCAAGAACCCCAAGAAGAGGCCAACAGCAGAAAAACTCCTTCAGGTCTGAGGGGAGACAGGGGAGGCGGGGCGACAGTACTGGAAGATGGGGAGGGGTGGGCGGGGGTCCAGCCCAACCCCTCCTCTCCTCCCCCCTCCCCGCAGCACCCCTTCACCACACAGCAGCTCCCCCGGGCACTCCTCATGCAGCTGCTGGACAAGGCCAGTGACCCCCACCTGGGGGCGCCGTCCCCGGAGGACTGTGACCTGGAGGTAGGTGGTTGCTGGGGCTGGGCCGAGATGTCTTCCCCGAATGGGGACCTGCTTCCCGTCCCCCGAGTAGGTCCAGGTGCCAGTTGTCAGAGACCAGGGTGTCCAGGACCCGTTTCTTCTTTTTCTGGTTTTGGGGTCACACCCAGCAATTTCAGGGCTTACTCCTGGCTGGGCGCTCAGGGATCACTCCTGGCGGTGCTCAGGGCACCCTATGGGATGCCAGAGATGGGGCGCCCTCCCCACTGTCCTGTCGCTCTGGCCCCAGGACCTGTTTCTCCCCTCTCTAGACCTATGACATGTTCCCCGACACCATTCACGCCCGGGGGCAGCACGGCCCCGCTGAGAGGACCCCCTCGGAAGTCCAGTGTGAGTCTGGGGGGCTGTGGGCAGTGTGGGACACTGGGTGTCGACTTAGCTACAGCGACCAGGCCTGAGATGCCCCCCTAATCCTTGGATGTGGGGGTCCCCGCAGTTCACCAGGTGAAGTTTGGCGCCCCCCGCAGGAAGGAAACGGACCCGCTCAACGAGCCGGTGAGGGGGGCAGGGGTGGGAGGGAGGGAGAGAAGCTGTACCCCCAAGCCCCTCATAGGTCGCTCTGCACCCCCACCTCTCTGCCCTCGCCCAAACTCTGCCTCCCGGCTCCCGCGGGTCCCCGATCTTTCTTCTGCCTTTATGCTAGTGGTAGATACGGCCGGGCAGGGTGGGGGTCCCCGAGTGCTGCTCACAGGATCGGTAGATCCACGCGCAGGCCCAAGAATGCATTTCTGTGCGTCCCCGGGGCCAGGAGCACGTGGGGCCCCTGTGCCGTCGGGGTGGGGACCCGGTGGGGCACATGCCACGTCCTAACTGCTGTATCGTCTCTGGTCGGTCCCTCTTCCCCCAAACCCCTGCCTGCTCTCCTGTGGCTGCTCCTGGGCTTCCCGACTCGGTTTCCCCACAGTGGGAGGAGGAGTGGACACTGCTGGGGCAAGAGGAGCTGAGCGGGTGAGTGGGCGTGGGGGAGGGGGCTGCGGGAGGGGCGCCAGCAGCAGGGCTGCTGACCTCTGACCCTGACCCTGGCCGCCAGGAGCCTGCTGCAGTCTGTCCAGGAGGCACTGGAGGAGAGGTGAGGGGCCCGGCAGATGGGCTGTGCAGACCGGGGTGCTTGCAACAGGGCACCATGCAGACTGGGAGCTGGGCAGATGGAGGGGGGCCGGGCAGATAGATGAGGGGCGTTGCAAATGGGGGAGGGGTCGTGCAGATGGGGGCCGGGCAGGTGGGCTGGGCCGCTCCCAGCTTACCCATCAGCTGCCCTGATTTATCCGCAGGAGCCTGACCATCCGGCCCGCCCTGGCCCTGCAGGTAGGGGGGGTGGGGCATGGGGGGGGTGTTGAGGGGGCTGAGGGGACGGGGTGACCTGTCCCAGCCAGCTGCCCCTCCCGGCGCCCTGCAGGAGCTGGACTCCCCGGAGGACCCCGTAGGAACCATCAAGCGGGCTCCGTTCCCGGGGCCGCCGCCCGCTGAGCCTGGCCCCCAGGAGCCGCTGTCCAGTCCCCCTGGTGAGCCCCAGGCCTGGGGGGGGGGGTCCTGGGGGGCAGGCCCGCTCAGGGCTGGGACTGCCGGGGATTCTGTGCCCGCAGGAACCCCGCCCCGGCCTCTTCCAGGTCCCGACAGTCCCCCGCCGCTGCCCACCGCCTGGGCCACCATGAAGCACGCAGCCGAGCCTGAGGTGAGGGGCCCGATGGGCAGACGGGACGGCCGGGCACGCCACCCGCACCCCCTGACTCTCCCCTCCCCCGCAGAGGTCCTCGTGCCACGGCCTCCCCCCGACCCCCAAGGTGCACGTAAGTGTCCCCTCTGGCCCAAGCCCCTGCACCTGTGCGGCCACCCCCCCCCCCCCGCCCGCTCCCACCACCCCCTTCCCTTCCCACTCCCCCCACCCCCTGCCTGCTCCCCACCGCCCAGCTCGCGTCTCTCCCCAGATGGGCGCCTGCTTCTCCAAGGTCTTCAACGGTTGCCCCCTGCGCATCCACGCCGCTGTCACGTGGGTCCACCCCGTCACCCGGGGTACGAGGGCCGGGGAGAGTGGGGCTGGTGGGGGTGGGGGGCTGCTGGCGGGGCGTCGGGCTGAGCCCTGACCCAAGCCCCAACCCGCAGACCAGTTCCTGGTGGTGGGGGCCGAGGAAGGCATCTACACCCTCAACCTGCATGAACTCCACGAGGACACGCTGGAGAAGGTGAGGCCCAGCGCGGGGCGGGGGCGGGGGGTGCCCGGGGTGCTGACCCTCCTCCCTCCCGGCAGCTCATCTCGCACCGCTGCGCCTGGCTCTACTGCATCAACAACGTGCTGCTCTCGCTCTCAGGTAGGGCCGGGCGGGGTGGGGGGTGGCGGGCGGGGGCGGGCTGCGCGACCACCCCCACCCTGCTGAACGCCCTCCTCCCCCGGCAGGGAAATCTACACACATCTGGGCCCACGACCTCCCCGGCCTGTTCGAGCAGCGGCGGCTGCAGCAGCAGGTGCCCCTGTCCATCCCCACCAACCGCCTCACCCAGCGCATCGTGCCCAGGTCAGCACAGGCGGGCAGCGGCGGGCGGGCAGCCCTGTACCCAACCAGGGTCGGGGGCAGTGCGCCGGGACCAGCCTCCAGACCGAGCACCTGGGCGCAAGATGGGGACAGCAGGCAGGGATCAGCCCCGGGAAGGGCACCGTGAGGGCGCAGCGGGCGGGACCCTTGCTGGCATCTCAGGCGTGTTCTCTGCGCGCTCAGCCCCCCCCCCCTTGCACCCCACGCTCCCGTCTGCCAGTGCTGATCCTCGAGTGCCACCCCCCATAATTGCGGGGGCCCAGGCGGAGGCAGTGGGTGTGGAGATGGGTGGCTGTTAGCAGCGGTGGGGGGGTGGCAGACGCTTTCTAGCACAGGGACGCAGATGGCCGGGTCCGCTCAGGAGCCTCGGACCCATGAACAGTCACCGGCTCGCTGCTCCGTGGGCAGAGGAACGGGGTGGGTGCCCCCACAAGGCTGGGCAAGCCCCGGAGGGCAGCAGGACCTAGTGGTCTCCTAAGACCGCGGGGTGCAGGCAGGACGCCAGGGGCGAGCAGGCAGCCGCCTCTGAAGTCAGTCCGAGTCTTCCCATGGTAGGTGCTGGTCACCTGCTTCGGCACAAGAGTCCAGTGGCTCCTGTCAGGCCTCCGGGGAAGGCCGGCTGCAGGCTCGGCTGGATGCAGGCCGAGCAGCATCGTGGCAAATCTGTCGGCCTCCCTTGGCTGTCTTCCTCTCACTGCCCAGCCACCTGGGCTTTCCTGTCAAGCGACAGCTGCCCAAATTTCCGGGCTGGCCTGGCCACCGCCCCGTAGGCCTGAACCATTTCCAAGCCCTCCCCCTGCGGTCCCGGCACTTGTCTTTTGTAGGCTGCGTCTCATCATTGTCACTGCACCTCATCGGATGGGTCACAGGAGCCATAAGATGTGCGGACAGGGGGCTGGGGGGCTAGGAGGCTGGGGGTGGGGCTGGAGGGGCCCTGGGAGGGAGATTGGCACCAACCCAGCGCTGGGGTTCTGGGGTTCGGGCTGCGGGGGGGACGAAAGGAGCTGTGCAGTTGGGGCTAGTGTTCAGGAAGTGGATTTGGCAGCGTTTGGGGCGGGAGGGGCTTCTCGGCAGCAGATTGTCCTGGGTTTTTGTTTGCTTGGGGGCTGCAGCCACATCTGGTGGTGCTCCGGGTACAGGGGTCACTCCTGGCAGTGCTCCAGCCCTGGGAGTGTGGGGGAAGGGGGAGCAACCCGCTGAGGTGCTCTTTGTTTTTTGGTGTTTTTCCTTTTGGGTCGCACCCAGCGATGCTCAGGGGTTCCTCCTGGCTCTGCGCTCATGAATCACTCCTGGCGGTGCTCGGGGGATCCTATGGGATGCCGGGGATTGAACCCGGGTTGGCGATGTGCAAGGCAGATGCCCTCCCCGCTGGACTATCGCTCCAGCCCGAAGGCGCCCCCTGAAGACACTTGAGTGTTGAGGATCTTTGTGGCACGGTGGCAACTTCCAAAGACATCTGGAGGGAGCTGGTGTCCCAGGGCCAGGAGACGCAGGGTGGGGGCTCTGGGATGGGCGCGGGGCATAGGTGGACCTGGGAGCGCCCCGCATCCCCGAGCTCTGTGGGGGGGGTGTTAGGGAGCCCCGAGGCTGGCCTGGGTGGCTGACTGTTGTCTGACCCTAGACGTAGCACCCCAGGATTGGTTGACAGTTGGTGGATGAGGGTCTCTGCAGGGGCCCCGGCCCAGTGGGCTCTGGGTGGGGTCCAACCGGGGACCCGTGAGCGGTGGGCCGGAGGACTGAGCACTGTACTCGGGACCTTCCTCCTGAACCTGGCTAGGCCAAAGGGCGGGGCCGCACCCCCTTCCTGCATACGCTCACCCCAGCACCCCAGCTGGAGTCCCCTGGCCTCCCGCTTCCTGAGCTCAGCCCCGGGGCCGTGAGTCTCCGCGCTGGCCCGGAACCTGCAGGAAACAGGTGTGTGAGCGCTAGCCCGGGTGCAGAACAAAACAAAGGCCAAGACTGACTGTCCCGGTGGGGGAACCGGCCGAGGGAGGGAGAGCGAGGACAGGACAGGGGGGAGGTGTCCCCGGCACCACATAGGGTCCCCCTTGCCCGCCAGGAGGCAGCGCTGGGTGTGGCCCCCACACCCAGAGAGACAGAAGTAGGAAGTAAGAGCTTGGAGGTCCCGGTGGGCTCCCAGACCAAGCAGGTCTTCAGCACGCCATTTCCTCTTCCTGGGCCCACCCAGGACCTCACGGGCTGGAGAGATAGGACAGCCAGGAAAGCGCCGGCCTAGAATGCAGCTCACCAATATTCGATCCCCAGCACCCCATATGATCCCCCAACAAACCAGGAACAAACCATGAGCGCAGAGCTAGGAGTAGGCCCTGGGCACCGCCCATGCGGCCCCCGAACGAGACAAACGGCCGACTCGGGGCCTACTCATGCGTAGTGACCCTGCTATGGCAGAGCTGTCAGTTTAAATCGCTTACACTCATTTCCGCCGCAGGCGGTGGGCACCCGCGTGACCCCCTTTAGCCAAGATGGAGGCGCTCAGGGGTTATCCCGGTGCCCCCTTCCGGCAAGTCACTCGAAGGGCACCTGCGAGGTGGGGGGGGCACTGGCCGTGCCACACAGGCTCTGGTTGTCACCCACAGACGCTTTGCCCTGTCCACCAAGATTCCAGACACCAAAGGCTGCCTGCAGTGCCGCGTGGGTAAGGGCCGGCTGGACGGCGGGGGGAGGGGGGGCGCAGGGTCTCGGGCCAGCGCAGTGCCCACCATCGGCCTTTCTCGCAGTGCGGAACCCCCACACGGGCAGCACCTTCCTTCTGGCCGCCCTGCCCGCCAGCCTGCTCCTGCTGCAGTGGTACGAGCCGCTGCAAAAGTTCTTGCTACTGAAGGTGCGTCCAGGGTGGGCGCGGGCTGGGACCCCGGGGAGGGGGGCCGGGAGCTGTGGAGACCTGAGCCCCACCCCCACCCCCCACCCGCCCCGCAGAGCTTCTCCAGCCCCCTGCCCAGCCCGGCGGGGCTGCTGGAGCCACTGGTGCTGGACGGGAAGGAGCTGCCGCAGGTGTGCGTGGGCGCCGAGGGCCCCGAGGGCCCGGGCTGCCGCGTGCTGTTCCACGTCCTGCCGCTGGAGGCTGGCCTGACGCCCGACGTCCTCGTGCCCCCTGGTGAGTGGGCGCCGCTGGCGTGTCCGGGCATGCGCACTGTGCGCGTGCGTGCCGTGTGCAGCTTCTGCGTGCGCTGTGTGTGCTGTGTGCATGTGTGTATAGGTTCAGTTCCTCTGAGACCTGGGGCTGAGGCTGGGGGAGCCCCGCGCAGGGGGGGGGTTCCCACCCACTTTTCCCATCGCCCCCGGCAGCCAGGCTCTTCTAGAAAACTTTCCAGCAGAAGAAAGCCGGCCTGGCCGCGGTGTGAGGGGCAGGGAGGGGGCGGGGGAGGAGTCCGTCCAGAGCTGGGGCAGACAGTTGGGGGCTGAGCGGGGACGCAGGAGGGAGAAGGGACAGTGGCTAGCCGGGCATCTCACACAGAATTTGATTGGTTCTTGTTTTGCTTTGGGGGTGCTACCCCTCGCTCTTGTGCCTGGGGGGGTATTCCTGCTCTATGCTCAGGAGCGACCCCTAGCCGGGGCAGGAGATCCGAATGGGGTGCTGGGCTTTCAAACTGGGCGTGGCCGTGTCCAAGGCAGGAGCCTTCCCTTCTATACTATCCACCTTGCCCCAGGATTTGGCTTTGTTTTCTCGGGGAAGGGGGCTGAAGAGAAGAAGTGCCTCTCCTAGAGATTCTCGCCCCCCCCCCCCAAAGTTTGAGTGTGAGGTAACACCTGCAGTGCCACACCCAACCCCTCGCAGCGGGTCACTCGGGATCTTATTCTCATGGGCCTGCCTGTGACCCCGGAAGGAAACGGCGCAGACTCCAGCGCGGGCCACGGCAGAGCCAAAACACGTGGTTCCTACGTGGGCTGTGACTCTGGAAATGCACCAGCCCTACCAACCTCTGAGACCTGGGTTTGAGGCCCAGCACTGCAGGAATCAGAGTAAAGCCCCTGGTGCACCCCACACACCCGCAGGCATGCCTGTCGCCTCTCAGTCTCAGTCTCCAGCTGGGCGGTGACACCGTCTGCCCGGCCATTTGTTGGGACGCAGAAACATGCTTGTGGGTCAGGGCAGCCCGCTGGCCCCAGGCCCTCCTCCCGGGGCCCCAGCCAGGCCATGTCTGTCTTCCACCTGCAGAGGGACTTCCGGGCTCAGCCCAGCAGGTGATCCAGGTGGACAGGGACACCGTCCTCGTCTGCTTTGACCGTGAGTGGCGGGGTGAGGGCTGGTGGTGGGGGGGTCCCAAAGCCCTGGAGGTCTCGGCTCCCCACCTCCCTCCACCCCGCGCAGGCTGCGTGAGGATCGTGAACCTGCTGGGGGAGCCTACGGCCACTCTGGCGCCCGAGCTGACCTTTGACTTCCCCATCGAGACTGTGGGTGAGTGACCCGCAGGCGGGGGCTAGAGTGTCACTGGGGGCATGGCGGGGGGTGGGAGGGCGTGCTCGGGCAACGTGGGGTGACGGCCTGTCCCCGACAGTGTGTCTGCAGGACAGCGTGCTGGCCTTCTGGAGCCACGGCCTGCAGGGCCGCAGCCTGGACACCAATGAGGTGCAGGGGCCCTGGGGACCCACCCCACTCCACCCCTCCCGGGATCCCCCTTTCTCCAGGCGGCGCTGCAGGGAGGCTTACGCCCTTCCTCCTCCCCAGGTGACCCAAGAGATCACGGATGAGACCAGGATCTTCCGTGTGCTCGGGGCGCACAGGTAGGGAGGGGTCGTTGGCCCACCCAGCGGTGGCCCTGAGACCAGAGGCGTGTCCTGTCCTGAGCCCTCCCCACGTCTGTCCCCCGCTGCAGGGACATCATCCTCGAGAGCATCCCCACCGACAACCCTGGGGCACACAGCAACCTCTACATCCTCACGGGCCATCAGAGCAGTTACTGACCCCTCTGCCCGCCCACGCCTCTGTATAACTGGACCCCTGAGGAAGCTGCTGTCCCCCGCCCGCCCCACCTCTGCCCCGTCCCCCGCGGCAGGCGCCCCAGCGGGCAGGCGGCCTGGGCTGTGCATTCCACGTCGTCCACATTTCCTTCCTGTACTTTCTGCCAAGCTCGGGAACACGGTATTTAAGAGAGAGACTATATTACTATTAAAGCGGCTCTGATTATACCCCAGGCTCCCCGCCCAGTCAGGAGAGCCGGACCCGGCCTCGGTGCCCTGCGCCTCCCCCGTCCCTCCCTCCCTCCCTCCACAGCATGTGCTGAGTCCCGGGTGCTCTGGGTGCCCCGCGGTGATCCCCTCCTGGAGGAACCTGGTGGAGGTGACCTGGAAGCTCAGGGCCCCCTGCCGGCATCTCGAGGTGCTCCCTGCTTGGCAGCGAGGCCTTTGTGTCGGGCATCCCACACAAAGAGATGCGGAGTTGGGGGGACACTCATCCCAGCACCCTGTCCTCGCCAGGACCTCACTTGGCGGGGTATGGGCGGTGCCAGGAGGGGGTAGCCCGGGGCTGCCCCTCTTCTGTCTGGGCATCCAACCCTGCAACTGCTGAGACAGGCTGGGCCCCCCCAGCCCCCCTCCGGTGAGCACTGTTAGCGTTGCGCCGCGCCTGGAGCCAGGCCCAGGTTTGGCCCCTCGCGCACCTCCCGCTAGCCCAGGCATGTGTGGGGGTAAGCGCTTCACACGTGGGGGCCCCCCCGGGGTAAATATTGGACAAATGAACAGCCTGGCGTGGGAGGGAGCCGGCGGCTTAATGAAGAGCGAGCAGGGGTGCCAGGCGCAGGGGAAGGGTGGGCAGTCTTCCTGGCCTGGGGGGCCCTGTACAACCTGATTCCTCCTTCCTGGGGGAGTTTCCGGGGTTTGGGGGTGGGGAGGCCCCTCCCTCGCTCAAAATGCCTGTCAGGGCATTGGAAGGCAGGAGGGGGCAGGAATCCTGCCCAGCGTTGCCTTGGCGGGAGGTTCGGGAGGAGGTGCAGGCTTGCGTGGGGGAGGGGAGGGGAGTTGCCTCTTACAGAGGCCCTGACCCCAAGGGCCCACAGAGCCGTGAGCAGCGCCGCCTGGTGGCCAGTTGCTGTACAACGCGCTAGGCTATTGCCAGGTCCGATGAAGGGCAAGGTTGGGGTATAGTGCCAAAGTGGGGGACCTGGCCGAAGCCAGGACCTCTGATAAAGTATTTGTTGCCAAAGCCAGGCCAGGAATCCGGGAGTGTGTGCTGAGAGATGAATACGGTTATTTTATGTATATATTTTTAAATAGGTCGCCCCCTGCTGGTAGAGCGCTATTTAAAAACAATACAAAATGAACACAAATAAAAGTCTTGCACTCGGGCTTTTTTCCCCTTGTTTTGGCCGGTGGGGAATGGCTTGGGGCACCCCTGGGGGAGCTCAGGAGACTGGGGTGCTGGGGATGGAGCCCAGCCTCCCGCGTGCAAAGCAGCTGTGTCCTGGCCCAGGGGATCCAAGTCCCTGCGTCCCTCCATGGCCGTTTCTGTTCCTTAGACACATGCACACGTGGGCAGCACCTTGTCCAGCCAAGTGTCAAGTGGTGGGCAGGGGGGACTGGCGGTGGCAGGTCTGGGACAGGCTCCTGCGTGCCACTAGGTGAGGTCCCGGCCACATTTTCTGAGTGAGGGGACGGGTGGAATGTCTGGGGCTACCGTGGGGCGCACCGGAAACACCCTCACAGCCACGGTGCCACGCCCAAGGCTCTGGCAGCTGAACTGAAGCGGTCACGGTCACGTTCCCGCTGTGCACGGGAGGGTGGGGGGAAAGCAAGTGGGGGGCGACGGACGCACTTGGGCCATTAGGAAGGTGGCTGGGGAAGGAGAAAGCACAAAAGCACAAACTCGAGGCTGTCCCTGGAGGAGTCTGGGGTGCCAGTCGGCCCCCAGGAATCTTTTGGGGCCTCCTAAGGGTGCCCAGAGGTCAGTCCCCAAAATACTTAGGCTGGCGTGTCCATGCTAGGGCCCTTCAGGGCACCCTGCTGGCACCTGGGGGTACCTGAGGGCACACCAGGTGATGCTGGTGGGCAACCTGGACTAGGTGCATGCCTGGCACGTACCCTAATCCCTGCCCTGTCTCCCCAAGGAACCTTGTTCATCTTCTTCGAGGTTTGGGCTCCGGGGCTGGGTGGAGGCCCCAGCTGGCCAAACAGTAACGTGTTTCCTGACCCCCACGAGGTGCCAAGCACCGTTTCGTATCAAACACCGGGTCCTAGGACGTGACTGTCGGAAAGGAACTGCTCAGGAACCAAACCCTTGGCACACTGGACGTGAGCAGCAACTGCAAGGACCCGTGGCTCGGGGAAGTGGGGCTCTGCGTCACACGGACACGCACATGCGCACACGTGTGTCCTGTCCTGTGTCAACAGCAGGGGCATGGATTTGGCAGAGCCAGGACGACGCATCCCCAACGCGCTGCGGGACAGCACATGTGGCCCCAGACTGGCTATTGTCGTGGCCGGTCCCACTGCACTGCCTGAGGTTGCCCCTTACCGTCTTTCGAGACGGGGCCTCCTACCCCCCACACACACATACATACGTACACCCCCCCACCCCCCAGCCAGGAATGGTTCTCTCTGAAACCCACGGAAAGCCTGTTTGCGGGGAGCTCAAACATTCAAACTCGAGGGCGGTGAATCATGTGGCTCTGACTCTGCGCGTTCCCGCCGCCCCACCCAGCCCCGAAACTGGGGCCCCCTTCTTGGGCTTGTCCCTGTCACCTGTCTGCTGTTTTATCTCCAGCCTCTGAGATGCTTCTCCTGCCTGCTGGTGACTCCAGTTTGATCACAGCACTGCCTAGGGCTCCCCAGCCACCAGGTGTGATCCCTGAGCAACATCAGCTGTGGCTCAAACACAGGAGAGAGAGAGAGAGAGAGAGAGAGAGAGAGAGAGAGAGAGAGAGAAAGACACGACGGGGGGGGGAGAGGGGGAGATTGGGGAAGGTCAGGCGAGATCATCCCCAGTCCCTTCATCATGCACTCCTCAGCACTTCAGAAGTATCATTTAGGGGCTGGAGCAATACCACAGCGGGTAGGGTGTTTGCCTTGCACGCGGCCAACCCGGGTTCGATTCCCAGCATCCCATATGGTCCCCTGAGCACCGCCAGGGGTAATTCCTAAGCGCAGAGCCAGGAGTAACTCCTGTGCATTGCTGGGTGTGACCCAAAAAGCAAAAACAAACAAAAAAAACCAGAAGTATCATTTAACCAGCACTGATCTGATTATCAACATGTGGTCAATAATCCAAGTACATGGTAATGGTTGATTATCTTTTTTATCTTTTTTTTTTCCCCTTTTGGGCCACTTCCGGCGATGCTCAGGGGCCTAGTTGTGCACTCAAGAATTAACTCCTGGTGGTGTTTTCGGGGGGGGGGGGCATACGGGATGACAGGGATCAAACCTGGGTTGGCTGCGTGCAAGGTAAGAGACCTCCCTGCTGCACTATCGCCCCTGCCTACAGATGAATATTTTTCTATAGAAAATCCATAATCCAGTGCAAGTTTTGTTACTGGTAGTTTGGGGAGAGGGACACAGTCAGTGGTGCTTACTCCTGGCTCTGTGCTCAGGACTCACTTATGCAGGGGCTTGGGGGTACTATGTGTCATGCTAGGGATTATCCCCCAAAATGAAACTTTGTTAAGGACTTAACTCACTTTAGGAGGGGCTTAGGGTTCTTACCTTGCATGTGGCTGACCCAGGTTCGGCTCCAGCTACCCATATGGTAGCCCTAGCCCCACCAGGAGTGACTCCCGAGCACAGAGCCAGGAGTAAGCCCTTCACACTGCCGGGTATGGTCCCAAAACAAAAGAAAATACCCTAGAAGCTGAAGAGATGTATAACAGATAAGGCCTTGCAGCCAGCCAACCCCCATGTTCAGAGTTTCTGCATTTTTTTTTTTCAGTTTCGGGATCACAGCTGGTGGTGCTCAGAGCTTACTCCTGGCTCAGTGCTCAGGACCCTCCTGCTGGCAGCAATCCCTGCCCAGTCCTCAGGAGTTTGGGATTCATTATGAAAGATAAAAGCCATTCCCAGGGGGTGGGAGGGATACTGGGATCAGTGGCGGTGGAAAATGGGCACTGGTGGAGGGATGGGTACTCGATCATTGTATAACTGAAACCCAAGCACCAAAATTTGTAAGTCTACAACTGTACCTCATGGTGTTTCACTAATAAAAATTTAAAAAAAAAAAAGCCATTCCCATTGGTGCTGGGGAGATAGTACAGCTGGGAAGGCTCTTGCCTTGCATGCAGCTGACCTGGGTTTGATTCCCAGCATCCCATATGGTCCCCTGAGCACTGCCAGGAGAGAACAATGAGCATTGCTGGGTGTGGCCCAAAACAAACAAAAGAGCCTCCATAGTCACACAGGAAATCTCTAGAACTTTGGAAATTTTTCGTTTGTTTTGCTTTTGGGGTCCCATCTGACAGTGTTCAGGGTTTACTCCTGGCTCTACACTCAGGAATCACTCCTAGTGGTTTTTGGGGAACCACATGGGATGCCAAGGATCGAACCTGGGTCAGCCACATGCAAGGTAAACACCCAACCCGCTGTACTATCTATCTTTCTGGCCTCTTTGGAACTTTGGTAGATCTGCAGGGGAACCTGGGGACAGAGACTAGACGTGTTTCTAATATGCTGCACCACGAGGCTAGAGCGATAGTACAGCGGGAAGAGCATTTGCCATGCACATGGCAGACTGGGGTTAGATCCCTGGCATCTCGTATGATCCTGCAAATACCTCCAGGAATAATTGCTGAGTGCAGAGCCAGGAGTTACCTCCGAGCATCACTGGTGTGATCCAAAAGGCAAAAGATCAAATTTTAAAAAATAATATACTGCACCCTGTTAGAAAATGACATGACAGGGGCCCCAAAGATAATATAGAGGGGAAGGTGCTTGCCTTGCCCTTGACAAACCCTGGTTTGATCCCCCAACACCATATACAGTCCCCCGAGGACCCCAAGGAAATAAAAATAATAAAATGAGGCGATGCCTGTGACCAAAATTTCGGTTGTAGGGTGTTGTTCTTCCCCCTGCAGCTCCAGAAATGTCCCAGGAGGGGCTGGAGCGATGGCGCAGCGGGTAGGGCTTTTGTCTTGCATGTGGCCGACCCGGGTTCGATTCCCAGCATCCCATATGGTCCCCCGGGCACCGCCAGGAGTGATTCCTGAGTGCAGAGTGGGGATAGTGATGAGAAATCCAGGACTCCCCAATTCAGCCGGATGTGTGGGGGGGGGAACTCTACCTCACCTCCAAACAGCAGCCTAGTGCTCAG